TGAGCCATGAATGGCATGAAGGGCTTCAGCAGCCGGTCGAAACCTGCTGCACATGATCGTACTACTCTTGCTGTGACCTGCTGCGATCTGCTGTGTCTCAAGGGTGCTCATCTGCACTCCGATTCATGGCCTCTATCAGGTTAGAGATGTGGGTTGTATAGGGATCGTATGACATTCCTTTTGTAGGTGGAAAAATGTCGTCTGAATCTGCCAATGCCACAACACTGGGCCAACATCAGCATAGGACTCCTTGGACGTCTCAGGCCCACAGCCTAGAAATTGAGCTGTGGCTTCCTCAACTATCGAATAACTATCGTGCACTGCTGGGCTTGGCCACGCGGAGCGGCGCGGAGCGGCTAGCATCATGTTGTATGAGCGGCTGACAAGACCGTGTGTTCGTCATTGCGCAATCTTTTGGTGGCCCCTATCGAATTTCGAGGATTAGCACCCCGGCAAACTGCGGCATGCCTTCGATCGTAGATTGTAGGGTATGAAAACCAGAAGGCATACAACGTCAAGACAAGGTTGAAACTACCTTAGATTTGTCCGGTGCTTGTATCATGATACCTTATGATACCATTTTCGGGCAGCCCGCCGACAACTAGTTGCTACCAACGTCAGCGGCTGAAGTTTGCAAGCGGAGCGAGCAAAAGCAAGCGCAAGAAGCACAGCAACCGCAAGCAAGCATAGCGAGCACAGCGTGCATAGCAAGCACAGCAAGCGTGAAATGGAAGCGGGCTGACATTCCTAGACCTTCGGAAGGACTCGCGAGTTTCGCGAGTTTCGCGAGTTTCGCGAGAGTTTCTTTTCGGGAATTCTCCAAGCTCTCTGTACTCGCTGCTTTACTTTGTCGACAGACAGTCTTGGCATTGGAGGTCATCTGGGACAACTGTGGCTACAAATTTAGCCATCCTTGCATGCTCTGCTCTTCAGGCTTTCGAATCAATGCAAGCGACAGCCACGAGTTGTACAAGGCAGCAGGAGCTGAGTTCGTCACAAGTTCTCGAAGGGACCCGACGTGCTTCAGAACCTCCAAAGAAACCCAGAACGAGTTCAAATCGACACGGTGCTAAAGAAAAAGAAAGATTAGAAACATTACACCCAAATCACAGGAATATGCCTGTCTCCGAAACCCCGGCAGACGCTACCTGGCTACCTACCAGGACAGCCACCGAACGTGCGAGCCACCGGATTGAACCTCTCAGACCCTCAGCCAACACGAGCTACCGAGTGGCCGAGCCACCAAGCCACCGGATTAAGGTGTGCCATGGAACGTGAGCAACCGCCCACCGGATGGAACCACCGAACGCAAGCCACGCGAGCAGATTGAGCCACCGGACCAGCAAACGCAAGCCACACACAAAGCGAGACAAAGTCAGAAAAAGGGAGGCGGGAGACAATGAGGGACAAAGGGCACCTCTGGGAGACAAGGGCGAAGGAAGATGAAGGAGGGCTCCAAGCAACCGGCAAAGACAACCCTCGTTTGCTTAGGGAATGAACTGATTTAGAATCCCAAAGGAACATGGAACATAAAATGCAGAAAAGGCTGCGGCCGGTGCCTGGTTGAGATCTGGAATCGAGGGTCCACGGGCCTCGGTGTGCAGACGAGGCAGGATTTTGGAATGTGCAAAAACAGAATGTCTGAAGAGCCCAAGAGCACGACTTTCATAACTTCACGTGGAATCATGTGGGTATGATCAGGCTGATGAAACACAATTTGGAAGGCCGGCCTGCCAATCCTGCAATTTCTGGGCCAGCCCCAGACTCTTAGATAGCCCGGGCACGAAGCCTCATCATCGTGATGGGCAAAGTGTGCGATCCTTTGGAGAAGACGTGAAAGTTCGGAGACCTCCGAAGCGTGAACGTGTTTGGAACTGCTTGACGAGAGAACAAAGCCGGGCAGTGCTGGATAGCGGCACCCGCTCTCCGGAATCCGAAGGCCGCTGCACCCGAAGGATACTGCACAACAGGTGCACAAAAGGCACAACAAGTGCCCAACAAGTGCTCTGCACAAACGCAAGGATGTGTGTTGGAGTGATATGGCATGCTGGACATCAGGACATCAACCTCGAGGCCGAGCGCCTAAAGACGCCTACCAGAGCCGATTCAAAAACCTTTGCATCTCCTTGCTTGGACTCCTCGTGACAATGGACCTTAACCGAACCATCTGCCGTCGGTCCTGGGTGTGATGACTCTGCTCACAAGCAGAGTTCCCACTGCATTTTGTGCTGCCAGAATCCCAAACTTCACCTGCCGCGATCGAAATGCGGCGTAAGGGCGTTAAGGCGGACACATATCCACAACGTCTCTCTCTTTTGCTCTTTTGCTCAATATGCTCAATATGGAATATATCTCAATATCTTGCTCAGCCCCCGGCCTCGGCTGCTGCATAGATTAGATGGCATACAGATGCGAGCGAGGGATGGACCGCACCCTGCGCTGCACAAGAAGGGACTTCCTGTTTGCCATATTAAGTGTCCATCCGAAGCTCCATGTTTCCATCTGAGCGGCAGTACTCAAGACTACTGAAGCGGCTTTGCAGCCCATGTTACCTTTTTTGGTATTTCGCGCTATCGCGGGCCAGCATCTCTATGATTCGACCTTCATGGGGCTTGCCTTTTGAGGTGCTTAGGTTTGGGGGCAGGATGGAAGTTGACCTTTGGGCTGGCTTGTCGCTGCAAGCTGAATTCTTGTAAGCAGCCACTGGCCAAACCTGTTTAGCCCGGAGGTCTCTGCATGAGGCATTCTGTGCCCTCGATCTCGATCCGATTGGTTGCCGAGCCGACTTTTTCCTCCAAAATCGATGTCGCCACGTTGTCGCTGCGGAATCATTTCGGAACCCCCACGGCAAAACTGGAATCCAGGTTCCGAACGTTGCCCCTGCAAGAAACCCAAGATCCGCCTACCCAGCCTTTGATCTTCACAGCCCGCCTAAACCGGATCTTTGAGCTTTGAGTACCCAGCGTTTGATCTTCGATGTTCAAGACACGTCTCCAGTCTCCAGCATTATCGTTGTTTGGTACTTCGCGCTGTCGCGGCCCAGATGCACGGTATCGCTTTCCGCACGACAAGAAGTTACTCGACCTTACACCTACCCCTAATCCCCTCCTAATTGGTTGTGAATGTTGGAGAGTAACTCTCGTAGCTTGGAGTTGTCGGGGTCGGTCTTCTACACCCGCGCCTCGAAGAGGACATTAAGCTTCAAGACCCGAATTGTGAGCGCAGTGTGAGAAGAAAAGAGTTGAAAATGCACAGTGCTTGAAAGCGCTTGTGTTTTTTAAACAGGGTTTCGTGACCTTGCTTGAGTGCTCGTGGAACACTTCTGCTTAGTGCCGAAACTCCGTTTTGACAAAAGAGCCCAACAGGTAAAGTTGCTAAAGCGGCAGGTGCGTGTGTGTGTGTGTGTGTGTGTGTGTGTGTGTGTGTGTGTGTGTGTGTGTGTGTGTGTGTGTGTGTGTGTGTGTGTGTGTGTGTGTGGGGGGTGTGTGTGTGTGTGTGTGTGTGTGTGTGTGTGTGTGTGTGTGTGTGTGTGTGTGTGTGTGTGTGTGTGTGTGTGTGTGTGTGCGTGGGTGTGTGGTGTGGTGTGCGTGCGTGCGTGCGTGCGTGCGTGCGTGCGTGCGTGCGTGCGTGCGTGGTGTGTGTGGTGTGTGTGGTGTGTGTGGTGTGTGTGGTGTGTGTGGTGTGTGTGGTGTGTGTGGTGTGTGTGGGGTGTGTGGTGTGTGTGGTGTGTGTGGTGTGTGTGGTGTGTGTGGTGTGTGTGGTGTGTGTGGTGTGTGTGGTGTGTGTGGTGTGTGTGGTGTGTGTGGTGTGTGTGGTGTGTGTGGTGTGTGTGGTGTGTGTGGTGTGTGTGGTGTGTGTGGTGGGTGTGGTGTGTGTGGTGTGTGTGGTGTGTGTGGTGTGTGTGGTGTGTGTGGTGTGTGTGGTGTGTGTGGTGTGTGTGGTGTGTGTGGTGTTTGTGGTGTGTGTGGTGTGTGTGGTGTGTGTGGTGTGTGTGGTGTGTGTGGTGTGTGTGGTGTGTGTGGTGTGTGTGGTGTGTGTGGTGTGTGTGGTGTGTGTGGTGTGTGTGGTGTGTGTGGTGTGTGTGGTGTGTGTGGTGTGTGTGGTGTGTGTTGTGTGTGGTGTGTGTGTGTGTGGGTGTGTGTGTGTGTGTGTGTGGGTGTGTGTGTCTGTGTGTGTCTGTGTGTTTCTGTGTGTGTCTGTGTGTGTCTGTGTGTGTCTGTGTGTGTCTGTGTGTGTCTGTGTGTGTCTGTGTGTGTCTGTGTGTGTCTGTGTGTGTCTGTGTGTGTCTGTGTGTGTCTGTGTGTGTCTGTGTGTGTCTGTGTGTGTCTGTGTGTGGCTGTGTGTGGCTGTGTGTGTCTGTGTGTGTCTGTGTGTGTCTGTGTGTGTCTGTGTGTGTCTGTGTGTGTCTGTGTGTGTCTGTGTGTGTGTGTGTGTGTGTGTCTGTGTGTCTGTGTGTGT